CACCCCTGACAGATGGCCATTCAGCCTGTTTAAAAGCCTCCAAAGAAGGAGAGAATTATATTTTCTAACAGCAATGTAGTTTGCTTTTAAAATTCCAATCAAATAAGGCTATATTACTGGATACTTTTCCTTTCTTTCAAAGTACAGCAAAGCTATTTCACAATCCCTGGGGCTTCCATCATTTTTTAGGGGAGAGTGACAATACATGAGTGGGTCTTCCCCCTGTTCTTGACTTACCCAATGTCTGTTTTAACCCACACACCCCACCAACCCTTTGTTAACAATCCTTCCTTCTTGGTTCAGATACCTCATCCTTTTAAAAATGCTTCCCTTCTTTCTACCTTCTGTGCACTATCAAATTCTGAAAAAAAATGTGTAAAATGCACAGTATGGTTCATCTTGCAACACCATATGTTATGTAGAAAACTGGCACTGAATTTTTATACCAAATATTTTGACTTATTTCATAAGGAGAAAAAGACAGAACTGTTAAAGGACATACAAAGGAAAAAGCCATTATGACTCAGAATAAATATTAATATGTACATAAATCTTTGAAGAATAAGTTGTATTATTCCAGAAGTTCCAATATTACCAGGATATTTAGCCACAAGTACTATAGGCTATTTTGAAACCTTTCCAATATACTATACTACTTTAGAATATATTGACAGTTGGAAGGTGTCAATGGGCTGCTATATGCTGTGTTTATTCACAGCCTTAGCAGCAATTCTCCTTGACTTCTCAGATTATGTCTTGGCCTCCAGTCACTTTCCCATTGAAGAATCCTTGAGATCTACCTATCTTATGATGAGTGATAAATATAAATTTACACTTTCCTTATAGCATTTATGCAAGCAAGGTTGGTGGGGACGAAGGAGAAGACCTTCTCAATAGTGGTCCCCCCGCTCTGGAATGCCGCCCCCCCCCCCGGGAGATCAGACAAGCAACTACCCTCATGACTTTTAAGAAGGACTTAAAGACTTGGCTATTTAAGCAGGCCTTTGAAAATGATTAGTAACATCCACTCTACCCTTCCAAATCCCCCCCCCACCTATTTCTTCCTCAACCACCCCCCACCATACCTCTCTTTACCCTCCTATTTATCCCCCACTATAACAATTTCCTACTTTCCTATACTTTAGATATGTTCGCTTTCTTTTTATTGTACTTTGAAAACTTTAATAAAATATATTTTATATATATATATATTTTAAAAAAGAAAATGATTAGTAATGCTTAATGTTTTTATGGATACATTCAGGCACTTTGGTTTTTACTTAGCTTATTTAATCTATTTGAATCATTATGTTTTAAATGTAAATTAATGTTTTACTGTTTCTTGTTTAATTGTTATTTTACTTTATTTGCTTTCCTTGTCATTTACGTTGTATATGTTGTTTATTATGTTTTACTCATGTTGTGAGCTGCCCCGAGATGGGATAGGATAGAAATATTATTATTCAGCAGTATTTGACATACATCCCTAGGCAGCAGTACCATTTCTTATTCTGAAAGTCTCTTTTTATTTGCATGAGGTACAAACAAGTATAAAATGTTGCTCTTTGCTATGAAAGATAGTATCCAAGTGATAAATTTGATTTGTGGCTCAAAGCATGAGCACAGGCTATGTAATGATGCTAGTTTCAGAAAAATGAAGCTTAAGGGTTTTGCTCAGGCAGAAAACTGTGTTCCTTACATCCTCAATGGCTGTCAAAGATAGCTACTAAGTATATGTTGCATGTTTATAAAAATGTAGAGGTAGTGCCAGTATACCTTACGGCCCTAAAGAGGTGAGGAGAGACACTGTCAGTTTCCCTATCTTTCAAAAGCAATGCATTAACAATACAATTGTTAGTCATGTCTAAGACCTCTGACTTTATAAGTCTACACAGGCACAGACTGAAAGATAAGATAGGAAAGGCACTGCAGGTTGCACATCCCTTATCCAGAGTTCCGAAATATGCTGAAATCTGAAGTTGTTCACACAAGAGGTTGAGATAGTGACACCTTTGTTTTCCGATGGCTTAGTGTACATAAACTTTATTTCCTGCACAAAAGCATTAAAATGTGTATAAAATGACCTTTAGACAATGTGTATAAGGTGTATATGAAACATAAAAGAATTTCATGTTTAGACTTTGGTCCCATCTGCAAGATATCTTGTTAGATACTTATATGCAAATACGTGTATTCCAAAATTCAACACTTCTGGTCCAAAAAATTTCATATATGGAAGGTGTCCCCAAACTGAGGTCCGTGGGCCAAATGCAGCCCTCCAAGGTCATTTACCTGGCCCTCTCCCTAACCCTTAGACTTAAGAGTACCAGTAAGTCTGAAGCAACTTGAAGTCACACACAACAATCCTAATTAACTTGACTATCTCATCAGCGAAAAGCAGGCCCACACTTCCCATTGAATACAGGCAGTCTCCAAGTTACGATCAAGATAGGTTCTATAGGTTTGTTATCTATGAGTTGTTTGTAAATCAGACTGTCCATTTTAAATATTTGATTGTTCTTCCAATTTTTTTTGCACTATAAATAAGAGATCTGCAGTGTGCATTCTTTTTTTTCTTCAAACTATAGTCTGAAGGACCATGAGTCAAGTCAACTTTATTTATATCCCATTCCATCTTCCCTTGGGGACTCAAGGCAGCTTACAACAAAGATGGCAGCCATTTGATGCCACACAAATCTATATAAAACAATAAAAGTGAAAATACCTACGTAAGTGTGTGGCTGGGGTGCCCACTTCCACTGGCAGGCTCCCACTTCCACAAACAGCTTTAATCCACAGTGCTGAGGAGCCACCAAAAGCCCTCACTCCAATTACATTTCAGGTTATAGCGAGCACTATGAACATGTATCCCAATCCCTGCCAATATCCTCCCCAACACAATACTGCCCACACCCAAGGAATGCTTTCACTCAGGGACAATTTCATCCTAGATATTACATGTTTCCTCCACCACAGACATCCCAGTGTTTCTTAATCTCTGAATTTGTGTGGAATTTGCATGATCATGCCCACTGCCTCTCCCTTAACCCATTCCTACTCTTTTCAACTCTGTCTGCACAACAAACAGAACAGAACTGATCAGAAACTATACATATTGGAGGAGTTTGGGGGATTGACTCCACATGATGGAAGTTGTAGTTCACCTTGCATCAAGTCAGAGCACTGTGTCCCCCACTGACAATGGATTTGGACCACATTTGGCACACAGAATTTACATGACCAAAGAAAAATACTGGAGAGATTCGGGGGGAGGGGATTCACCTTGATTTATAGCCATTATATGTACTGGGATTTATAGTTCATCTGCAATGAAAGAGCATTCTGAACCCCACCAATGATGGCCCTGGACCTAACTTGGAACACAGAACCCCCATGGCCAACAAAAAATACAGGGCTTTGGGGAAAATTCACCCTGATTTATAGGAATTATAGTTCACCTACATCCAGAGAGCACTGTGAAGGCAAACGATGGATCTGTACCAAATGTGGCATGCATATCCAATATGCCAAAATTTGAATACTGTTGGGGTTTTTTTGGGGGGGGGGGGAGAGAATTGCCCTTGGCCTTTGTTAGTTGTAGATACGGAGATTTATAGTTCACCTGAAATCAAAGAGCACTCTGCACCACACTGATGATAAACTTGGACCTAACCATGCATACAGAACCCCCATGACCCACTAAACATACTGGAGGAATTTCACGGGACAGACCTACTAAGGTGAGAGTTGTAATTCATCCTGCAGCCAGAGACCACATGAACCCCACCAATGATGCTTCTAAAGCAAACTAGTCCAACATGACAAACTTTAAGTATTGATGGAGTTTTAGGGTGTTAACCTGGTATGATGTGAGTTGTAGTACACCCACAACCTTATGCATTTTGTTTTATACCAGGTACCCAAGCTAGTACACAATAAAAATATAACTAGATAATAAATTAAATACAAGTATTTATCATAATTCTGGGGAGTGAGGTGAGTTCCCGCAGTTAGCCCCAGCTTATGCCAACCTAGCAGTTTGAAAACATGCAAGTGTAATAGATCAAGAGGTACTGCTTCTGCAGGAAGGTAATGGCGTGCCATGCAGTCAGGTTGGCTACATAACCTAGGAGGTGTCTATGGACAACACTGGCTCTTTGGCTTAGAAATAGAGATGAGCACCACCCCCAGAGTCAGAAACAACTAGACTTAATGTCGGGGAAACCTTTACTTTTTAAAGCATAATAACAAATCAATAAAACAGCTACATTAAAAGCATGATTAAAAACCAGATCGATAGAGTAAAAGCATATCCATCTTTAAAGCCCTGTCGATAAACGTCTGATTCTCCATAAACCTGGGAGCAAAGGTCAGTTTTTAACTGTTTTCTGAAAGAGGAGGGAGTGGGAGCTTGAAAAGTTTGAGGACCCCTGAGATAGGAGATATTCAACCTGTATAATGAAAGAAACCAAAACCTTGCTCCTGTCCAAACACCAGACAGTTAATTGTTTCTTTCCTTAAGCACTTGTTTTCAAAGATTAAAAACAAACGGTGCAGTCAGGATGAGAGTGGTGGCCAGTGGCGAAAAGAAGGAAAGCCATCCCTTCCTGCAAAGTTCCCTACCATCCTGATGAAGAGATTCCTTCAAATCCAGAGGAAGGAGAGGGGGGAAGGAAGGAAGGAAACTGGGGAGGAAGGGGGTTCGCTTTCAAGGATAAGTTTTACTTTCAGTTCAAGGAGCCGGGGAAGGGAGGCCTGGGGCCCACCCACCTCAAGGGACTTAATCCACAGACTCCAGCAAAGCAGATTAAACTCCAGGGCAGAGTGGCAAGGAAGGGGGCCTCGAGGGGGAGGAGGAGGAGGAGATTGGGAGAGGTGGTGGGGGAGGGAAGGGAGGGAGGAAGGGGTTTCAAGGCAGGCTGTGAGGGAAAAGGCGGGGAAGGAGGGTGGGAGGGAAGGAATGGGCGCCACTTCTTCCCTTCTTCTCCCTTTCTCTTTACCTGCTGCAGGTCTGTGAGGAAAATCTCCCTCTCGGCCGCGTTGGACGCCATTGCTCTGGGGCCGGACTCCGCACCTGGGCGACGGTGAAGGGGGGGAGGAAAGGGGAGAGGAGAGAAGAGAGGAGAGAAGAGAGGAAGGGAGAGGAGAAGAAGGAGGAAGGAAGAAGGGAAGAAGAGAGAGAGAAGAAAAGAGGAGGAGAGAGAGGAAGAAGGGGAGGAGGAGGCGGGTCTGGGCCGAGCGCGGCTCTCTCCCCCGTCCCTCTCCGGGAGGAGAGAGCGGGAGGGAAGGAAGGAAGAAGGGAAGGAAGGAAAGGCAGGAGGGGGCGCCCACCCCCTCGTCTCACGGCCGCATGAGGGGACGGGAAGCGCTCGCGTCGGGACGGACGGACGGGCGTCGAGCTCGCCTCCGCCCACCCTCACCCTCCTTCCCTCCGCCTCCTCAGCCGCCGTTCCTTGGCGCACCCTTTGGCTGTCACCCTGTCGCAAAGACGGCGCTGCTTTGCGGCTCTTGCGCGGCGCGTGACGTAGCGCCCACAGGGAGGGAAGGAAGGGAGGGAGGGAGGGCTTTCCTTCTAAGGCGGTTTTGGAAGGAGGGAGGATGGGGGGCCGGGCGAATTCAGGACCTGCTGGGAGTAAATAAATAAACAATCCCCCAAAGTACAAGTATTTCAAAACCCTCCAGGGTTGTCCACGTAGGAGGATGGGAAAGTGGCACCTCTGCTTTCAGATGGTTCAATGGATACAAACTCATTTTCTTTATTTATGAGATGTACTAGCCGTCCCTGTTCTGTGTGGGAGGTTTGGCCCAATTCTATTATTGGTGGGGTTCAGAATGCTCTTTGACTGTAGGTGAACTATAAATCCCAGCAACTAAAACTCCCAAATGTCAAGATTCTATTTTCCCCAAACTCCACCAGTGTTCACATTTGGGCATATTGTGTATTCGTGTAGAGTAGGGGTCTTCAATCATTAGTGGGGTTCAGAATGCTCTTTGTAGGTGAACTATAAATCCCAGCAACTACAACTCCCAAATGACAAAATCTATTTTTTTGAGTGAAGGACATACGTTGGGTTGTTAGGTGTCTTGTGTCCAAATTTGGTGTCAATTCGTCCAGTGGTTTTTGAGTTCTACTAATCCCACAAACAATCATTACACTTTTATTTATATAGATAGTATAGGTAAAGGTTTTCCTCTGACATTAAGTCCAGTCGTGCCCGACTCTGGGAGTTGGTGCTCATCTCCATTTCTAAGCCGAAGAGCCAGCGTTGTCCATAGACACCTCCAAGGTATGGAGCCCCCGGTGGTGCAGTGGGTTAAACCCCTGTGCTGGCAGGATTGAATCTGGGGAGAGCACGGATGAGCTCCCTCTATCAGCTCCAGCTCCTTATGCGGGGACATGAGAGAAGCTTCCCACAAGGATGATAAAACATCAAAAACATCCAGGCGTCCCCTGGGCAACGTCTTTGCAGATGGCCAATTCTCTCACACCAGAAGCGACTTGCAGTTTCTCAAGTCGCTCCTGACATGACAAAAAACAACAACCTCCAAGGTCATGTGGCCGGCATGATTGCATGGAGCACCCTTACCTTCCCGCCAGAGCAGTACCTATTGATCTACTCACATTTGCATGTTTTCGAACTGCTAGATTGGCAGAAGCTGGGGCTGACAGTGGGAGCTCACGCCGCTTCCCGGATTCAAACCTGTGACCTTTTGGTCAAGAATTTCAGCAGCTCAGTGCTTTAACCCACTGCGCCATTGGGAGCTCCATGAGATGTATATCCCGCCTTTATTCCCCAGTCATAATAAAGGCTCCAGGAAATAAAGCCCGATTGCTCACTGGAGGGATGGATAATTATTAGAGGCAAATATGAAGTGGTTTGGCCACATACTGAGAAGAAAGGAAGGATTGGAGAAGATAATGATGCTGGGGAAAATGGAAGGAAAAAAGAGGGGCTGACCAAAGGCAAGATGTTGTTTATTCATTCCGTCGCTTCCAACTCTTCATGACCTCATGGACCAGCCCAAGCCAGAGCTCCCTGTTGGCTGTTGCCACCCCCAGCACCTTCAAGGTCAAGCCAGTCACTTCAAGCATCCCATCCATCCATCTTGCCCTTGGTCAGCCCCTCTTCCTTTTTCCTTCCATTTCCCCCAACATCATTCAGAGACGCCTGTCTGGGCTGAAATATGCGGTATAGAAATAAAGCAAATAAATAAATAATTCTCTTCTTTAAGATTTCCTGTCTTCTCATTATGTGGCCAAAGTACTTCATCTTTGCTTCTAATATCCTTCCCTCCAATGAGCAGTCAGGCTTTATTTCTTGGAGGATGGACTGGTTGGATCTTCTGGCAGTCCAAGGCACTTTCAGAACTTTCCTCCAACGCCACAGTTCAAAAGCATCTATCTTCCTTCACTCAGCCTTCCTTATAGTCCAGCTCTCACATCCATAGGTTACTATGGGGAATACCATTGCTTTTACTATGGAGATCTTCGTTGCCAATGAGTCTCTACTCTTCACTATTTTATTGAGATTGGTCATTGCTCTCCTCCCAAGAAGTAAACGTCTTCTGATTTCCTGGCTGCAGTCTGCATCTACAGTAATCTTTGCACCTAGAAATACAAAGTCTGTCACTACCTCCACGTTTTCTCCCTCTATTTCCCAGTTGTCAATCATTCTTGTTGCCAGAATATTGGTTTTTTGATATTAAACTGAAACCCAGCCTTTGCACTTTCTTCTTTCACCTTGATTAGAAGGCTCCTCAGCCCCTCCTCGTTTTTGGCCATCAAAGTGGTGTCATCTGCACATCTAAGGTTGTTAATGTTTCTTCCAGCAATTTTAACCCCAGCTTTGCATTTGTCAAGCTCCGCACATCACATGTTGTGTTCTGCATACAAGTTGAATAGGTTGGGTGAGAGTATACAGCCCTGCCGTACACCTTTCCAATCTTGAACCAGTCTTTTGTTCTGTAGTCAGTTCTGACTGTTGCTACTTGGTCCTTGTACAGATTCCTCATGAGACGGACAAGGTGCTTTGGTATCCCCATACCATCAAGAACTTGCCACAATTTATTATGATCCACACAGTCAAAGGCTTTAGAATAGTCAATAAAACAGAAATAGATGTTTTTTTCTGAAACTCCCTGCCTTTCTCCATTATCCAGCGGATGTTGGCAATTTGGTCTCTCGTTCCTCTGCCTTTTCTAAACCCAGCTTGTACATCTGGCAACTCTCTCTCCATGTATTGCTGGAGTATTTTTTTGCAGGATCTTGAGCATTACCTTACTGGGGAAGGTAATGGCAACCCACCTGAGTATTCTTGCCCAGAAAATTAAATGGATCAATACAACCAGAGATATGCTGGGGAAGATAGAAGGAAAAATGAAGAGGACCGACCAAGGGAGCTCTGACGTGGGTCACGAAGAGTCAGAAGCAACTGAATGAATAACCCCCACCCCAATTCCCCAGTCAAGGGTGCAAGGCGGCTTACAGCTTTTGGAAAATGGCATTCATAACCTTTTGGAAAACACAATTTGGTGATCATAACGTTTATTTATTTACTGTATTTTTACCCCACTCTATCTCAACTATCTCGATAAAATAGTGAAGAGTAGAGATATCATATTGGCAACGAAGATCTGCATAGTTAATGCAATGGTATTCCCCATAACAACCTATGGATGTGAGAGCTGGACCATAAAGAAGGCTGAGCGAAAGAAGATAGACAATTTTGAACTGTGGTGCTGGAGGAAAATTCTGAGAGTGCCTTGGACCGCGAGAAGATCCAACCAGTCCATACAAGAAATAAAGCCCAACTGCTCATTGGAGGGAAGGATATTAGAGGGTGAAGTACTTTGGCCACATAATGAAAAGACAGGAAAGCTTGGAGAATATAATGATGCTGGGGAAAGTGAAAGGAAAAAGGAAGGGGGGCCAATCAAGGGTAAGATGGATGGATGTTATCCTTGAACTGACTCGTATGACTTTGAAGGAGCTGGGGGTGGCGACAGCCGACGGAGCTCTGGCTTGGGCTGGTCCATGTGGTCAGAAGAATTGGAAGTGACTGAATAAATAAACAACAACCTTTTGGAAAACACCATTTGGAGAGCATAACATTTATTTATTTATTTATTTATTTATTTGCAGTGTTTTTACCCTGCTCTATCTCAAGCTCGAAGGGGAGTCAGAGCGCATTCCAAATTGGCAGTAATTCAATGCCACATTAACATATGACAAAAAAATGCAACATACATTGTGCATTAAATCATGAAAATCGTAAAACACCAGCACAAAGGTAAAGGTTTCCCCTTGGCATTAAGTCTAGTTGACTCCAGCTCTGGAGGATGGTGCTCATCTCCATTTCTAAGCCAAAGAGCCGGTGTTGTCCGTAGACGTTTCCAAGGTCATGTGACCGGCATGACTGCATGGAGCGCTGTTACCCTCCTGCCAGAGTGGTACCTATTAATCTACTCACATTTGCATGTTTTCAAACTGCTAGGTTGGCAGAAGCTAGACCTAACAATGGGAGCTTACCCTGTCCACAGATTCAAGCAGCCAACCTTCCAGTCAGCAAGTTCTGCAGCTTAGCAGCTTAACCCACTATGCCATCACGGCCCCTTAAAACACTAACATTAATACATAACTAAGCTGTTAAAACATTATAAATAGACCAAAAATCATAATCCAGAAGCTGTTCCAATCACATTGCCATTCACTTTGCAGCTGCATATAGCTCCGCTGTTTGGGGGTCCTCCTGGACTCAGCGCTGAATCCAGAGGTCCAGGTATCTGCAGTGGCTGGGAGGGCCTTTGCACAATTAAAACTTGGACAGTAACTGCACCCGTTCCTTGAGATGCCAGATCTGGCCACAATGGTACATGCCTTAGTTACAGCCCATCTGGATTACCGTAACATGCTCTATGTGGTACTACCTCTAAGGAGCGCTTGGAAATTTCAGTCAGTTCAAAGAGCTGCAGCCAGGTTGCTAACTTGAGTGAGCTACAGGGAGCGGACAACCCCCCTGTTGAAGCAGCTCCACTGGCTGCCAGTCTGTTTCTAGGCACAATTCAAAGAGTTGGTTATGACCTTTAAAGCCCTAGATTGTTC